GGGTTTTCAAGGACCCTTGATTATCAGTTGGTAGGTCAGATACCCGGTTCGGACAAAATTTCCATATCGGCCAGGCAAGGTCGGATTGAAGTTCAGACAAAGCCTCTGGACGATAGCCAGAGGTCAAATTCAAAGTTCGGACACCAGATCCATTGTCAGATCTATATTCGAACAATGTTGTGCCACCTTGCTGATTACCTTACTTGATATCCTTTTGATCCAAGGCATCGAACTCTGTGTCAAGCATTGGAGATTTTTTGGTTATTTTAAGTGGTTTTGGGCTTTTTCTTGTCGAAAGAAATTGAGGTCAGATGCAAGTTCGGACAAATTTTCAGATTCTTGTCTCATTAGAGGCAGAATTCGGACAAAATCTTTGAGATTGGGCAATCCTATAGTTCGGACAATTTTTTTGAAAGGCCAAAATTGGTATCTGACCTCCCAACCGATGATCAAGGTCCTGGTTTTCATCGGGTCGACTTCATGTCACGACGGGGTACATGTCAAAACCTACCAATTTCATTAGCGCGCATAGACGAGCTTTTTTGGAGGGTTATTGGCATGTGGAGGCTGTACTATGCCAATTAGTATATTCCATTACATCGCATGTAGCCATATGTACCCTCTTTTCCGGTAAAGAATCTGTCTGTGCTTCGTAGAGCGCCCCATTCAATCCACACTCCGATTTCACCCTTCAGCCTTGGCTTCAAGACAAATGCTTACAGTGCTGAAACACCTTGGATTCACATTTTAGGTGTATATAATGGTGGTCTAATATCACTTTGTTAATTTGAGATACATTCAGGTGCCAGGACGAGTCTAAACTAGTAATTCAAGGCAGTGGCACGCTACCTCGTTTTGCCATTTTGGGAAAGCGCCGCAAGAAAAATTCGGCAGGCCCGGAAACCAGCGTGTAAATTCGCGAAAAATATATCCACTCACTCATAGGACCCTTACCTTCCTTCAAGTGCCGATATATTTGTGTCCACACCATTTTATCTGTTCGCACGAGGTCAAAGCGCTAAGCGGCCATTACCCAGTCGCTGATAATACCAGCAGAACGCCCACCACGCTCCCGCTCCCGCAATGCTGAAAGATGGCGATTCTGCATGCCCTCTCACCGCTTCTCTCGTATCTGTCAACTTTAAATTTGTTTCCCGTTCCTTCAATCTCAGTGCAATATGTTCGATCCTTGCTGAAGAGGCAGGCGCCGCGACGCAGGAGCTCGTGCCGCCCTTGTCAATGAATGTCCAAGCTGGAACCTATTCACGCGACGTGTAATGTAGGCACATGCACTGCCGGCTCGCCGGTCAAGATCACGTCGATTGAATCTGGATTAATAGTTTCGTTGAACCCATATCCTTCAACCTCCTCTCCTCCATTCGTTCTGCAGTTGGCTCTTCTCCTCCGTTCCGAACTTACATACTCGCTTCTCGAACTGCCCCACACCTCCTCAACGTCCCGACTCGACTCGACTCGCCGTCTCCTACCTCAGAGCTGGCACCTGTTTTCCTTACCTCGTCCCGCCGTCCAAGTATTTGCCAATGTTTTCCTCGGGTTCGTTATCTCTCTCTGCCGAGCGCTCGTTCCTCGCACGTTCGAGTCTCGGGGCTCTCTCGAAATCTGGGAATCTGAAAATCTGCACCTCAGCGACTCTTGTCGTACGACTTTGATCTTTACACCGGTCGGTACGAAAATTTGAACTGAATAATTTGGATAACTGTTGGAATACATACGTCATATACGATCTTTGTCATCTTACATAAGAATTATTCCTTTGTCTTCTACGTTCGTGTGCGCGTCTCCGTCTCACAGGTTATAGGGCCCCGGCCTCCGTATCTGCGCTTATCTGTGTCTTTTGTGTCGTTTTGGTGATACTCCGAAACTCGGGTGTAGACGCTAGCAGCTCCTTTTGAAGCCTGAGCGCAGTTTGGCTCCCTGGGGTTTCTCCACCAGGTGTAGACACTAGCTGCTCCTTTGAAGCTTGAGCGCAGTTTGGCTCCCCACCATATACCATTCCAATTCATTGCCACTCACTTTCCTTTGATTTTTCACTTCTACTTGCCACTCATTATGTCGACCACCAACAATCCATTTCTCGCACATATCGCTGTTCGACGGCACCAACTGGAGTTCGTTCAGCAAGGACATCCAGGTCTTCTTCCAACTCGAAGGAATTTGGGATATTGTTAATGGGACGAAGAAGACCGTCGGATGCAGCTGAGGCCGAGAAGTGGGTTCGGAACAACGAGCGCGCGTACTCTATGCTCTATTTCCTCATCTGGCTGACTACCGCAGTATCATCGCGGATGAGTCTGGTGTCGAGGCGTGGAAGCTTCTGAAGGACGAATATCAGAAGGATTCCTCTGCCCTCCGGCTCGCGCTCCGCAACGAGCTCTATTCCATCCGCCATGATCCCAAACAGCCCGTCAGTCTATATCGAGGCGATTCCTCTGTCGCCCGCCAGCTTAAGGCGATCGGACACGCCCATCGGACGACGACCTCGCCGACCTCATCCTCTTCGCCTCCACCCATCATTTTCTTCCATTCGTTCCGCGCTATCTAACACCACTCCATTTCCCAAACTTGCTGCCTTGATCTCCGCCATTAAAGCCCACGAAATGCAGGAGAAGCTTTCCGACAGTGTCGCACAGTCGATCAAGAAAGAGGAGGAGGACGATGGTGACAAACCGATGACTGATGCGATGGCTGCTCGTGAAGGACGAAAGGGGGTGAAGGGTGAGTTTGATTGGGGTAATTCGAAGGAGAAGGATGGAGTCTGCCATCGCTGTGGTCGCTCTGGCCATGTCGCTCGTCGTTGCGTCGCCGATATGCCTGACGACGTCAAAGCCAAGATTCTGACGTCAAAAATCGATGCTGCCGCTTACGGGGATCTGGTTATTCTCACCGACTCGGACGACGATGATAATGTTGCTGTCCCTGCTGCATTCGAGTCGGATGACCTTTGCATCCTTTCCGACGACTCCGATGCCGACACTCCAGCCATTTCACGCCCCGATTCACTTCCCAACTCATCGTTCTTCAATTCTCAGCTCGAGGGGGTGCACGCAGACAAAAAGAAGAAAACTCGACGTGGACATCGAGGTCGTGGCGGAAATAAATGGTGTTTTTATTCTATTCTTACTCTTCATTCGGACTTCGCGCGAGGGGGTGTGTTGGAATACATACGTCATATACGATCTTTGTCATCTTACATAAGATTATTCCTTTGTCTCTACGTTCGTGTGCGCGTCTCCGTCTCACAATAACTCGTGTGAGGAAGTTGTTGGTTCGACTCACTAGGCGTGTTCCAGTAGATCGAATATTCTTTTTTTCCTTCCATTGTCAATGGTGGTGGGCAATGCCGATTAGCGATCCGATGGTCACGTGCAGAATCAATTGGATGAGGCGCAGATTTTAGTGACTCACGACTTGTTTGTGTTCCTCCAGACGCAATTTGTGGCTAACAGCCAAAGCTTGGAGACAAAATTGTAGGGAATAACATGTTAATTATCTATAAGACAAGGTGGAATATTTGGGTACCATAAAACTATTCAAAATCCACAGTTCATAGGCTCGTTCCATCTTTTTGAAACGTTCACGGTTCACTCAAAGTCAAGGTACAATGTACGGGTTGTCAAATGTACATATTGACGAACCAACCAACTGTCCGAGCGCGGAAGCAAGACAGTAGGAAGGAAGTGTGTGTGTGCGAGTTGGTTCACAATGCTCAGTCAACTTGGGCCACGGCCACGACGAGGGCCGAGCGTGGGAACGACGGGGTACGAGCGATACGGGGCGAGACAATTGTCTAGGAACCACTAATAGGATACAGAATATAGTAAGTGAAATCGGAGTAAAACGGAATGCACCGTGTCTAAGGGTCTTAGAAAAGGCTATATCAAGGGTATTGGGCTGGGCAACGGCGGCGGTGACGTAGGCGTCGAGGAACAAGAACATAGTTGAACGACGGCGGCGCGACGTGGTGCCAGCGGGATGAGGTTAGTGATCGGACTTGCCGTTTACGGATGCAGCAGGACGCGAAGTGCGTCAATATTTGAATATATTTTGGCTCAAAATGGACCATACTATCAATTGGATGATTTTTGCTTCAAAAAACTGGAAGTTCAACGTTTGTGAGATAAAGATATGAATTAGTTGGTGGCTGGGGATGCGGTCCAAATACGGAAGAAATGATCGGAGTTGCATCAGCGCGCAAACCTCAAAAAAATTTTGGTATGACTTAACTGGTGATATCTGTTCAAAATATGCACCGGTATGACGTCGCCGTCTCGGATTTTTGATTTCCCGCAGTAGGCCATAATAGTGTGCAATTTGTACCAAAGTTGGCCAATAGTGTTGATCACGGAAGAAAATCGGGAAAAACAGGACGGAGACATCATAGCCATATATATTTCTAGCACTTTTTCCTTTTTTCTCAACCAGTATCTTGGAATGAGACCCCGAAAACCTGTGGGCGAGATCGGGGTCACTTTTTGAGCCGTTCAGACCCCGTGACCAGAGCGTGGGAACCCAATTTGGCAACCTGCCCACCACCACTTCGAGGTTCCATCTGTACTTATTCTTAAATCAGGCAGATGTGAGGCAGAGCTCTCGCTGTCCGGCCAAACGGCATATATCTTTTTTCCAACCCTTTAAATTCGAGCTGTGCGACAGTGAGAGATGGAGACCCGAGCTTGTTGGGAGGCAAGCTGCTGTGGCTCAGTGTAGAGCATCCTCTCAATCTGTTCTGCAGACCGTTTCTGAGGAAGCTGTGGGCTCGAATCCCACCAGTAGTATATGGAATTAGTGCGGGTTTTAAAAAAAATCTCAAATACACCGATGTTGCTTCCAACGACGGCCTAATTGTCTCGACATCCAACCTCTGAGACAAATACACGGAGGGTCTGTAATACATTACATCCATTCATTATTATTTCATAATAGAACGCAAAGGGTTACCATGAAGTGTGGTATAAGGAGTGTAATCCAATGGTCGGCAAGCTGCTGTGGCTCAGCGTAGAGCATCCTATTCTGTTCATTCCCCTGCAGAAGACTGTGAGGAAGGCGTGGGTTCGAATCAACCAGCAGCGTTCGTCCTCAATGTGTCTTTTTTTTCTTTCATTGCCAAGTTGAGTACGAATCAACTGAGTGTGAATGGCGAATGGATGTTTTTCTCTCAAATATATTTCTATATCCTCACAACAGCTGGGAGTGTACCTTCGAAGCCAGGAACTCGGGAAGCGTATAGTGTAAGGACCCCGATTTTCTGGGTTGATTATCATTTGACTTCGATTCCCACCAGGAGCATAACGCAAATTAGCTGTTCTCTTTTTTATCTTGATCCATTCTGATGCTGATTTCAAAGTTCAAACACCACCCTCGAAGGTTTTTCTCCGCCAATGTCGGCATATATCCTGAGCCCGTGTCAATCAATACGGAACAGGTATGATAGCGGACAAAAATTCATGACAACTCGGAGTTTGGGATGTTTTCGTCCAAGATTTGAGATTTGTGCCCAGAATGACCAGATTCGTGGGTAAACTTTTTCATTTCAGAAGGCCAAATCTGAGTTGGAAGTTCAAAAAAAGAATCATCTCAAATAGTAATGCCCACCTAATTGTGTTTGAACTCAAGTCTTTTCGTGTGGACAACAGGTTGTAATAACTTTGGCACTGGAGCACAGCCACTGGGTATTCGGCATCACTCGGCTATCACTGGTTAAGACCGGCCCACCATCAAAAGCCCTAAATCTGTTGAGAAAACAATAATTCGAGAACTTCGAAGTTCTGCTCCGCCATCTAAGATATTCCCGCAACATGGTTTCGGCATCCTCGCCGAGTCGTCGTTGCCAGAACCTCGGGCACGCTGCGGGAATATCCTACATGGTGTGACGCCACTGG